TTCTTTTCAACTATCTTCATGATCATGAACTTGTCTTTGCGGTTGAGATGATCAAGGTTGTAGTTATCTTCAACTTCAACGTCACTCTCATCTTGATCATCTACTTGTGCTTTCTCCTTCTCTTGATCTTTCTTGTTACTCTTCTTCTTACTTTTCTTAGCCATGAGACACAAGTGATGAGTATCATGAGTTACTGAGGTTGACTCATCACTTGATCGCCACCGGGCTTGAGCATCATTGCAAACAGCTGCTTGCTGCTCTGCTGCCTCGGCCATACCGGACACATCCGGTAGTAATACCGGACACGTCCGGTACATGTAGGCAGGCAGCAGGTCATGCGCTGCTGGCACTTCTTGCTCCGGCACGGCGCTCTTGAGGTCTTGTGAGGCTTCTTCACTGTATGATGACACAATGGACATACTTTCCATTGAATCGATCTCAAGTGCATCATCGCATTTGGATTCTCCATATAACTCAACGAGTTTGGTCCAAATGAGATGAGCACTCTCCGGAGGTGGTTGTCCATTGAATATTGCCTCATCTTGAACCTCTGCACTCAATGTACTCAAAATGATATTAATAGTTTGAGCATTGAGTTGCACGCATATCTATTCCTCTTTTGATAAATTCTTATAGTTGCTCCAATCAACTATAGGAAGAGGTATGCTTGCAAACACAATATGCTCAACAATAGGACTAATATGTCTAAAAGCATTGAGTCCATAATTGACCAAGGTAGAAAGTTTGAACCATCATTTTGGAGAAGCACCGGCTCCAACTCGATAGGCGTCGACATCCTTTTCTCACGGCGGTAAAGCTTTATTAGGTGAGAACCTTGCTTTGATACCAATTGAAAGGACCTAGGATGCCTCCTAGAGGGGGGTGAATAGGCGTTTCTGAAAATTAACATCTTTAAATGCGAAAACGATTAGTAAAAGGAGTTTCCAAAATGGAAACTCCAAATAAAGAGTAGTACCACCCCTCACAAGTTAGTCACAGAGTATACAAGGTATAAAGAATGTATCTAGAAGCTACGACCCTGCAACACAAAGTTAGAACTGAAAATAAATATTTTCAGCACAGAGCTCTAATACCGGACGTGTCCGGTATACACGGTTTCTGCAGATCAGCCCCGAACTTGCTCCTTTCGATTTCTATCTTCGAACCAAACTGCAGGCACTTACTAGAGATGACAATATACACAGAGAACATGCACAAGAGCTGGAGCAACACAAATATCAAATGAAATGCGAATTGAGACACGATATTTGTTTTACCGAAGTTCGGACTCGTTCGAGTCCTACTCTCTGTTGAGGGGGCTGCGGGCGACCCAACGAAGGTCAGCCCTAGAGGGTACCACAAAGGTCACTCTAGCCGGAGTTTTTTCCAACTCCTTTTCCTCCTTCCACTAAATGATTCCGAGGCGGCGAAATCGACCGTTACAAACTTTCCGAAGCAACCACAATCTCTCGGTTGCTCTCCGGCGACGCCTAGCCGTCTAGGACCGAAGAGTCCAAGAGTAACAAATGCGAATCACGAGATTGACAATATGCACAAGTGCTCAAGTGGTGGTTTGCTCTCTTTTTCAAATTCTCTCTTAACCCACAAATTAATTTTGCAATTTGGATCACACACTCACTAAGAGAGGGTTTAGGAGAGTTGGCAAGGCTCAAAAACGTGTGTCTATCTCGGCAGAATCAGCAGCCTCCAAAGGTGGAGGCTTGGGGGTATTTATAGCCCCCTTGAAAAACTAGCCGTTTTATAGCCGTTGCAATACCGGACACGTCCGGTATGCATACCGGACACGTCCGGTATGACTTACACTGCACCAACGGTAACTAAGTTACAGTCAATTTGTAAGGCGTCGGAACTCCCGATGAATGTCAGAACTTCCGACCGTCGGAACTCCCGACTCACGTCGGAACTCCCAACCCTCAGCATATTTGAAAACCATTGCAACCGAGTTAGAATATTTGAGGTGTCGGAACTCCCGATACATGTCGGAACTCTCGACCGTCAGAACTTCTGACTTACGTCGGAACTCCCGACACTTAGTACATTTAAAAACTATTGTTGGCCTTTGCTCATCCATACCGGACACGTCCGGTATGACCACCACAGTGAACTCTCCAAATTATTTAAATTGCGAGACGTCGGAACTCCCGACCCTTGCCGGAACTCCCAACCTACATCGGAACTCCCGACGAACCAACCCGAGAACAACAATTTTACAACTGCCGGGTAAATACCGGACACGTCCGGTATGGCCAGACCAGCAACAAGTCAGTTAGCTCTTTTGTCTCTCAAACACTCAAATCTCACATGGGTTGGCTTGAGCACTTATGAAATATTATCTATCAACATGATGCATCCCTCTTAATAGTACGGCATTCCTATTTACTCAAATTTAAAAGTATAACGAATTTAAACCTTTTGAGTTGCTCTTTTTGAACCGAAGCCGTGTATTCCAATCTTCATCAAGTGAGGGCGTCAACATGTTGATATTGATCTTTTTCACTAGAGCATAGCCATCTTGAGCACGTGACTTGATTCCATTCATCAAATATGAATAACCCCAAATGTATCAAGTCACTTCCATCAAACAATCCAATAGTGATTTGATCCTCCACATGAACATGGCCATCATAGCTTGATTAGTACCTCAACTAAATGCAAGTACTTTCTTCTTCACCCTAGCTAGGTTCTTCGGCCGCCAAGCCGTCGCTTGCCCTTCACCCTTGCTTAGTACCTCGAAGCCTTTCCTTGCTATCTTCACCATCTCAAGCCATCAAGTCACTTCTTGTGTTGAATCATCCATTCATTTGTATTGTTATCTTTTTTATTTCAATTTAGCAAGCTTCAAGTATGAGACCATTCCATATGCAAACCCTTATGTCTCATTAATTAATTCTCACAAACTTGCTTTTACATAGTACATGGAAATCCCACAATAAACAAGCCTTTGCATGAATTCCATTTGCATTGTTGTCTTGTGCTTGAACTAGATTGTTTATACAACAACACATTATTTTGGCTTTCATTAAGTACCTGTGAGATAACCTATAACCTGTCCACACTTAGCAAACGGGTTAGACCTTTAATCACGTTGTCATTCAATTATCCAAAACCCACTAAAGGGCTAGATGCACTTTCAGTACCCAGGGTAACTGACCGCATGGACAACAACCGAAGTAAGATGGGGTACACCAAGCAGGCTACGCAAGGAGCCCAACCCAAACAAGGTACCTCATCTACTTGGAGGATAAGGCGTAGCAAGATATATTTAGAAACCAATTCTATCTACATAGTAGTAGATTTCCTTGTAACAAACTAGAAAGCCCACATGTAAATTGATCGGGATTCTATCTATAACCCAGCTCCTGGACTATATAAAGAGGGATGGGGAGCCCCCGATCGGTATCCCAACATACCCCAAGACATCTTGTCTCATCTAGACAACTAGCCATCAACATCCCTTTATAAACTCGAGCATACAAACAAATAGATCTACTTCAAACTGGGCATAAGGTACCACGTACCTGAACCAGTATAAACCCTATCGTGATAAGCTGATTCGTATTGCCGGAGCTTTCCGGCACCTATAAAAACCATGACTAATCTCTACTAGTAATGGCCTCGATAGAGTGATAGTCGATGCCATTGTGCTTCTTCAGCAGTAGTTCCTCTCTAATCCCTATTGTCAACTTGCACCTCCACTTCTCAAGTGACTACTCAACAAGATGACGAGAACATGTGCACAACAATTTTAAATCATAATACCATGGAGATATTTGCATGGTCCCTATAACCTAGACTTCTTTCCTTTTTTCGTCAGGCCATGGGCCAACAAGCAAATAATCTTCTAGGTAAACCTTTGTTTCTTGGGAGACCTAGGGATTCAGGAACCATGCAGTACAGAAAAGGATTTTGGTCAGTGCCCACTTTCCCAAGGCCTAGAGTCCTCCAATCTCATGCAAGGGCCAACCAATATGATGGTGGGATGCAGGAAGATTTCACCATTCTTGTCAAACAAAAGTTGCATTTCAAATTGACCATCATGCTGAAATAGAATGCTGACATGGAAGAATTCAAAGCGCCCACAGCCGACGCCAAAATCGACCAAATAACTAGTCCGTTTGCTAATGTTGACCAAATGACCCACCAAAGTAGCGTATGGCATCTAGTTCTATTCATTAGTGCATCGACAGGAATGCATCTAGTTCTATTCATTAGTGCATCGACAGGAACCCCAACTTACATCGCACCCTCTAAGTTCAAAAGCCGAGTGATAGAAGATGGCGAAATGCAGCTACGATGACAACCACCATCATGATGGTCTCTACGACAATCAACTTCGCTAACATTAGAGAAGTTACGTTAGCGAAGGACATTGTTTTGAAACGGAGGAGGTTACCCGCAAATAGGCTAATCTTTTGCGGATTATAATTAGCATGTTAATGGATTCACGGACAAACCACTTTGCATCACTACGAAACATGAACTTCTCTAATAGTGGCCTTGTTCGCTTATAATCCGTACTTTTCAACTTATTTTTTTAGCCGAAACAATATTTTTCTCTTGCAACCAATCAGCCACTGTTCAGCGAAGCGAACGAGACCCGTGACCACGCCTTGCAAACATATGAAACAGTAGTAACTTCTCTGGTAGTAAATGGGACTACCAACCTCTTATATCACGATGAGATATGAAGGTAGCACAGCGACAAAAACATGGACAGATCTTAAGATACCGCAATGAAGAAATTCTAGATAAAGAGCAAACTCACAAGATACATCATACATAGACCACAACAGGGACTCTCAAAGCTAAGATTCAACACCACCAGGCAGACCAAAGAGACGCAGAGTTTCTGACCACATTCCTCCTTCATACCACATTACCACCATATTAGTGACAAACACTCATACACAGAACGACCGAGGCGAACTGCCGCTTCCTCCAATCACGCAGGCACGACGACCGGACGTGCGGACCGATGTCTAGCCGGAGATCTGGATGGACTTCACCTCAGGCTTCTTGACGTCCTCCTTGGGCACAGTGACTGTAAGCACGCCGTTCTCCATGGCGGCCCTGATCTGCTCCGTCTTGGCGTTCTCGGGCAGTCGGAACCTGCGCAGGAACCTGCCGCTGCTCCGCTCCACGCGGTGCCAGGTGTCCGTCTTCTCCTCCTGCTCCTTGTTGCGCTCGCCGCTGATCTGAAGGATGTTGCCGTCCTCGACCTCCACCTTGATCTCCTCCTTCTTCAGCCCCGGGACGTCCGCCTTGAACACGTGAGCCTCTGGGGTCTCCTTCCAGTCGATCCGCGCGCCAGCGAAGGCCGCGGTCTCCGAGCTGGTGCGCGGGAACGAGGGGAAGAGACTGCTGCTGCTGCCGGAGCCGAAGGGGAAGCCCTCAAAGGGGTCCCAGAAGTCGAGGGAGAAGGGATCGAACACGTTGCTGCGGCGGATCAGCGACATGGTCGGTTCGATTGTAGTCTTCCTGTCGACGAATCGAAGATTTGTGAGAGAGGTTCGAGTGATTTGGTTGAGCTTCTGATCGAAGATTTGTTGTCTCTTCTGATTGCTAGAAGGGGAGTTTTTATAGAGGAAAAGCGATAGCGATGAAGTGGAAGTGGAGGAGAAGGTAGTTTCTGGAGAGTTCTCACGTGTTCGAGCATGGACCCGACGCCGCTGGATTCGAGCGTGGAGAATGCTAGAGCTATCCAGACTTCCAGTGGGTCTCTCTTCTAGATCGAAAGTAGCTGGGCTTCTAGTAATTTTGTTCATGGGCCAAGGCCCGGCCTTTTGCCAAAAAACAATTCAGCCCAACATCAAAGAGGGCCCACGCGTGCACACTCGTCAGACCTCTCTGTCTCGTCGTCTTCCTAGTTCAGGACTTTGGATTCAGGCGACTCGCCGCACGCACTAGAGACGGCGGAGTCGTCGGGGAGGTGAGCACGGCGTGGTGAAGTCGTGAGGAAAGAAAAATTCCACCGCCGTGGCAGCCATGTCGGTGCAGGAGTATCTGGAGAAGCACCTGCTCTCACGCAGGATCGAGGAGGCCGTGAACGCGGCGGTCCGCGCCAAGGCCCCCGACCCGGTGCTCTTCATCGCGGGCCACATGCGGCGGGCGGCGCCCGCCGTGATCACGAGGGTGCGGGCGCGCCAGATCCTTGACGGGCACGGCGCGCCGGCCGTTGAGGTCGAGTTGCACACCAACAAGGCCGTGCACCGAGCATCCGCGGCCGGCGCGGGCGCGCTCGAGGGCGCCGCCGCCGACGCGGCCGGGGGCTCCGAGAGGCGGAAGATCCTCGCCAGGGCGGTCGCCGACGCGGTGCGGGTGATCAACGACAAGGTGTCGGAGGCGCTCGTTGGGATGGATCCGCAGCAGCAGGCGCAGATCGACCAGGCCATCATGGACTTGGACAAGGCGCGCCACAAGGTGGAACACTCGGAGATCCTTTCCCTTTTTCTCTCCTCTGCGAGTTTTTTTTCCTGAATTCTGCATTGTCAAACCCATGCTATATACAAACAACTGATGGCTCCATATGCTCAAGCAATTCTTTACATTGGGTATAGTCAATTTAGGGGCAGTATGGGACACTAATTATTTCGGTTATATTTGTCTGTTCGGAAATAATGCTGTTCTTCACTGTCTACTTGTGTTTCCACTTACCACTACTGCCTCAATTTTTTTGTATCTTGATTTCGTTCCATTATTTCTGGCAAATAGATTTTGTCCAAATGGAAATAGCTATGATATTGTGCGAAATGCAGGCTGAGCTTGGAGCAAATGCTATGCTGGCAGTGTCAATTGCAGCTTGCAAAGCTGGTGCTGCTGAAAAAGAGGTGCTGCTTTTCTGCTAAAATCATCATAATTTGAGAAATGTGTCATGCGACGGCACAGAATTTTTATTGTCGGATCATTGAATGCTTGATGCTGTGCAGGTTCCACTCTACAAGCATATAGCAGATCTTGTTGGCAAAAGCGCTACAACTCTTCCTGTCCCTGCAATTACAGTCATTAATGGTGGAAAGCATGCTGGAAATGCTCTTCCCATTCAAGTATTCCTCCAAACCTTTAGAATCTGAGAAGTTGAAGGCATTATTCCCTTATTTTGTCCACTTGAGTCATCTTTTGCCTAAACAGAAACATATTAAGATAGCTAGTTGTTCATGTATATCAACCATATCAACATGTTTAACTGTAGTTCTGGAGTAACTATAAATCTTTCTTATTTTTAGGAAATTATGATCCTTCCTGTTGGTGCTAAGAATTTTGAAGAAGCAATGCAGATGGGTTCCGAGACCTATCACCATCTCAAGGTAGCCTTCGCTTTTAACATTCTGTGCTGCAGATATCTATATGTTAGCAGCGTAAGTGTTCTCCACTCATACTTGGTTCAAGATGTTCATCAAACATCATAAGATTGACTTCAATAACAAACTAATATTGCACTCAGCCTTTCTGATTCCTTCTCTCTTTTTTTCCCGTTCTGAATTTAGCTACTATTAATTCATTTGGGTTGGTTGTCGTTGAGGCAAATTACTGACATTACTGACCTCTTAGCTCTTACAAGTTTCGCCTTCAGACTACCAGAAAGGTTTGCTCACTTTTGTAGATATTTACTTACTAATAATTACTTTTACAGGATATTATCTTGGAGAAATGTGGCTCAGACAGCTGCAACATTGGAGATCACGGTGGGTTTGCTCCAAATATTTCCAGGCAAGTGAGAAACTAATTTACTATTTTCTGATATCACACATTTCTTGTTTTCCCAATTGGGGACCTACATATGGATTTCAATATGCCATATCTATGTTGCTTTATTGATGTTCAGCATATCTGAAGGCCTGGATCTTGTTGTTGCGGCAATAGAGAGGGCTGGATATAATGGAAGAATAAAATTGGCAATTGATGTTGCTGCTACTGATTTTTGTGTAGGTAAGTAGAAAAGCAGTGCATTGCCTATGCATGGACTATGTAAATGTTCAAAAATTAACTCTCTGAATAAAAAATATCAAACAGACTATGAAATTTGGTGATAGGATGTAATCATTCTGCTGCTCTGGTTGTGTCTGCTTACTGGAAGAGTTTCACGCAGTGTTTTCACTTTTAGGCCCCTATCCATATTATTTGTGCCTCAATTTTTCCGTGCTGTCATCTGTTTGTTTAATATTGTTGCTACTAAACACCAGAACCAGCCATTGCCATTGAAAGCATGCTGTCAGAACCACCTAGCAGGAATCTTGTAACGATAAAGGGCGTACCCAGTGCAGAGAGCTCCCGCTCTGTGCAGAGTCTAGGGAAGGGTGTCAGTGGCAAGCCTTACCCTCGCCCGTGCAATGCGAGGAGACCGCGACTCGAACCCGGGACCTTCCGGTCACAGGCGGTAAGACTCTACCGCTTGCACCAGGCCCGCCCTTCAATCTTGAATTCGGATGTTGCTACATATTCTACTTGCAGTCGGATGACCAGATACTGAACAATCTTGAACCTTAGAAATAGTGAGCTTGAATGTTAGTTGATTCTATAGTCAATGCATTGGGTTCTTTTTGTATTTGCTATGTGATGAGTTAGCTTATGGCTATGTTCACCCAACTCTTTGCAGGAAAAAAATATGATCTGGAGTTTAAGTCAACAAAGAAATCAGGGCAGAACTTCAAAACTGCTGATGATATGATTGTGATCTATAGCCAGCTTTGTTCAGGTATCCCTGAATTGTGGGTTGGCATCATCTTTCTTTTTCTTCTATGTATTTTAGTTTCATGAAGCATATAAACACAAGTTTGCTGATTTCTTCCCTCCACTTTCTGCACTAGAGTACCCACTTGTCTCCATTGAGCAGCCCTTTGATAAAGATGATTGGGAGCACTCAAAAAAATTGACCACTCTAGATCTGTGCCAGGTGATTTTTTCTTCTAACTTTCAGTTATTAGTTCTAGTTCGTGTGTAGCTCATGGTATGAAATGTGTACAGGTTGCAGGGGATGACTTGTTGATGTCTGACCCCGAACGCATTAAGCGGGCAGTTAGTGAGTACACTTGCAATGCTCTTGTTCTCAAGGCAAGTATCAAGTCATCCCTATAAATTATTTCTTATTGGGGCTAGTTTGTGTTATATATCCATGTTATTGTAATAGTTCGAAAGTGCCAAGTAACAGTACCACATGGCATGTAACTCTGGAATTAGGCATGCTTTATTTCATAATTATTTGACAATATTTGGATGCTCATACTAATTCTTTATTAAAACGCTACTCTTCCTTCTCAATGGTCATTATAAATGAAGCTTTGTGTAGTCTGAGTTGAGTTGTAAGTTTATTTATATAGAACAGTGTTGTATTCAATCTGAAACAGTAATACATTTATCATCCATATATTATTTGAATTTGCTGAAAGCTGAGAAACTTGCAATTAAACTAGTAGGCTGTAGCCTCTAGGCACATTGTGGTCACAACCTCTTGCTTGCACGTGTATTTTCATCACAACCTTGCTCCCTAAAGTCCATATATGGTTCTGTTGACGGCCTGTTTCGAACACGATTATTTCATAGGTTTTGGCAGGAAATATACCGCTGCTGCAAAGTTTCTATATTCCTTAGGGGCCCTTATTATACCTGTTGTGTTTCTTGTCATGTTTAGTTTGTCAATAACATTTTATATATATGCAGGCAAATCAAGTGGGCACTGTCACTGAGGCCATAGAGGTTGTGAAGCAGGCAAAGGATGCTCATTGGGGTGTGGTGGTGTCACATAGGTCTGGAGATACTGAGGATTCTTTCATTGCTGACCTGGCTGTTGGTGCTGCAGCCGGACAGATCAAAACCGGTGCCCCCTGCCGTGGAGAGTGTCTAACTAAATACAATCAGGTTTTTCTTTCTGTTGAACCCTTTATATTTCTATGCGAGAACACAGCATACACACCACCATGAATACAACTGACTTGTGGTAACCTTGCAACGTTGACTTTGCAGCTGCTTAGAATAGAGGAAGAACTTGGAAGTGAAGGCGTTTATGCAGGGGAGAATTGGAGAACTGTAAGCACGAGCTGATCTGTGGTATCATTTGAGTTGCGGGTAGAATTGGAAATCTTGACCTGCCTTCGTATGTAGCCACTTAACTTTTATTTGTTGTCTTGTCCAATTGCGTGTGCTCATCCTCAGCAAGGATATGGAAATAGGGTGGTCAAATGCACCATTTTGTACTAGATGATGGCATTGTTGTCAAAAATATATATAGTGGATGCAGTGGTGGGGTTTACATTTTTTATGTTGTTCAACTTGGATTTGTTTAACTTGTGTATATCATGGGTTATAAACATGAGTACAGAACTTGAGAAGATGGTTTAAGAAATAGAATTGAGTTACATTCTAGTATAACTGGTCATTTTTCGGATCTCATAGTCATATAGTTGATGCACTTCAAGGTTATGAAACTATTCGGTCGGGCTCACGTCTCTGGCTGAACTACAGGTATGACCTAAACCATTTGCATGAGTGCATACTTTTGTTTTTTCAATCAACTTTGCCTAGATGAGATGAATGCCTAATAAGCTGGTCCACAAGCTCTATACTGTGGACAGTACCGTATGTTTATGGTTTAAGGCAGTCACAATTGATTTTCCAAAATCTTGGTCCACATAAGGGTTTTTAAATCCTTTTGAATTAAAAGGTGGAAATATCTGGTGCACAAGATAACAGGAGTATATATGGATGAACATATACACAAAATCAATCTAGCCCTTTCTATTTATTCTGACTTCTGAGTTCTGAGTGGCGCATGCGAATATTATATGCGGTGTCAGCAACTTCAAAGCCGTGAATTATACCATTCAGAGTATGTATGTATAATAAGATGATGTAAGTAGGTCGTATAAGGTGCCACATATGATTTATGTTGAGACGGAGGGAGACCAAGAGGGCAGAGGAAAAAGAAGTGAAACTAGCCATAAACTTACAGCCGGCTTATGCTCGTGCTTCAAGAATCTTTGTGAGAGTATGATAGGTCAGATATTCAGCCTGATCGTTTCGTCGTAAACGATCGTGGATTATTTACTGCTGGCTGGTTTGGTGTGAGAGAAAAATACTGTTCCAGCTTATAATCCACGATCGTATACGAGCAAACGAACAGGCTGATTAATAGTGTAGTTATATCAGTAGTCAACAATTACATGAGTGAGCTATTAGAAGGTTGTAAATGATATGGTAACAATATACAACTAGCAGTTATCTGTGTTATTATTAGCCATGTTCTGATTGCTCTTCCGAGGCCAGTCTCATTAGATAGTTTCATGGTCTTTCTAAGACAATAAAACTTGAATGAAACACAAATTCTCAATGCAAAGTTTCATTCTATAGTTTCATAGGCATTTGATTCCATGACTTAAAGATAGTTGATAATCATGTCAAGAGAGTTTCATCTCTCTTCTTAAATATATTATCATGTCCTAAAAAATGCATATTATGTGGCAACCTACTTAATGCAAATGGCAAACTGTCATGAAACCCACTGAGACTTGCCTAATCTCGGAAAAAAAATCCAGTGCATATTGGATGCACCCACCGGCTGTGCAGACTCACTCTGGATGTGCGGCACACAGCATCCGACGCCCCACAGCCCGCCAACCACGGACCATGGTCTGGAGGCTGCAGCCGAGCGCATGTAAGCGCCTGGAGGCGGATGCACCAGATGTTATCTGTTGTCCACGCGGCGGCAGATCAACGTGTATGCACCGAGTCTCGGTGGATACAGTATCACCCAATTTTTTTCCCTAATCTCACGGGCATTTCAATTTCCAATGCTTCCATTTGCATCGAACATGCTTAAAGCATGAGGCACTCATGTCAGTGTGCTCAGCGTAATCCAGCAATACGGCAGTTCCCTGCGCACAAGACCGTACAAGAACAAACTCAGCTAGTTGAAGTGTAACCGTTAACCCTGCCTGGGAGAGCTGCTTCACTTTCCCTTTCCGGGAGGCAGAACCCTCCCAAAACAGGGTGGCTTTTCGACCTATATATAGAGAAGAAAGTTCACTCAACCAAAAAGAACCTTTTAGTATGACCATCCACCAAACCAGACTGCATAGTACCCAAGACAACAAAACAACAGAGACAATATATCGATCAATAAGGGCAAGATACCCGATTTCATTACTTGCACAACAGTTTCAGTGAAGATTTCACTACTTGATGCACAACAATTTCATTGAAAATGACAGCAATTCCATGGTTCACCGATGTGATCCAGCTAGCACAGCAGAGGATACCAAATTAGATCAGTCCGGTATCCTCAGGGCATAGATGGAATAACATACAGCATGCGGTTTTAAGTAAAAACAGGAGGCTTCCCAACTCTCGCCTTCAAACCCCCACTGTTGAAATGGCACGATCAGGATGAATCAGAGGCTGGTTGTTGTGGCTGTGCTTCAGCAGCGCGCTTGACCGACGCGCACTTGATCAAGTGGTTGTAGCTTCCCTTCTCCTTGAAAAGTTGAGAGAAATGATGTTTGCAGTAGAGGATGCCCTCCAAGGCTGCATAGTTGGAAGGTGTAATCGCACAGCCCCCGTGGGAGCATTTGAAGCATGACTTATGGTAGGCCTTTTCTTCAACTGTTACCTGTGCAATATTTTTAACAGCCATGCATTAGAACCACTGTCCACATGTTTTGCTGGCTCAAGGAATGCGATCAGAAAGAGTTTTGATGACCAATGTAAAGGCAATCAAGAAAGGATAATTAGACGAATTAAGATGAACGAAGATATAATTTTATTGTTAAATGGAGCAAAATTTAGGTTGACAGCACGACCTGGTTAACATGACTAGAAGGGGACAAATATTTGTTCAGTTGTGAAAGCCATTGAAACCCATGGGGATTGATCCTGAGACGTTCCATAGCAAATATTGACCTTGATGAAATACTGAATTCGATGCCTACATCCCAAAATTTTGAAAGGAAATAATGAAAAGTAAAAAAAAGCATAATGTGATCAAAATTACCTTCTCAAGAGGATATGCGGTTTTACCGCAAGTCGCACACTTGTCTTGTGTTCCTGAAAACATCCTTGCAGCTTTGCTTGGTGATCTGGTCTGGATAGCAGAATTTGGACAAAACTTATCACTTCTCCATTTCAAGAATACAATGAGACAAAAACTAATGCGTACAGACTGGCACTCACCAGCTCAGGGGCCAACTTTTCCGGAGTAATCTTTGCGGCTGAAAGAAGTAAACCACGAGTACATCAGTGCATCAGATCACAGAAACACAAAAACCTGCATTTTCATGTCAATGATTCGGTACTGAATGAAAGCGTACGTGATTGCGATTGGAAGCTCTTGTTGTAACTCCCGGTCTCCTTAAACAGCTGCTCGAAATGGGCCTTGCAGTACGGCACTCCTTCGAACGAGGAATAGTTGCTCAACTATCAAAGGCGAAAAGGATGAAGACGGAGATTGTCAGACCTTGCACAACTGCTTATCTTTTGCCTAGACATGCATCGACAGGTCGTCCTAAATAGAAGATCAAACAAGAGTTTTCATTTGCATCGATTTTCTGCCCAATCCTCTCTGTTTTACCAAGTTAGCGAATGGGACAAAACCATGATCTCTCCTGGGCACAGAATTTTCCTGATACTAGGAAACTCGCACCAGATCCGTACGCCGCAGCAATTCGCAGATCTACTACCCGATGCTACATTGCATTACCCTACAGATCCATCCACCTACCCCATTAGAAGAGAAACATGGGCAAGGGAACGTACGGAGAGGGTAGACTTGCAGTGCTGGCACTTGAAGCAGGAGCGGTGGAAGACGACGCCGTCGGTGGAGAGCTGGTCCATCGGGTACACCGTCTTGGTGCACACCTTGCACTTCTGCTGCGTCCCGCTAAACATCTTCTCCCGATCACCGGCCAACCCCTCTCCCCCTCTCTCTGTCTCACGGGTCGTGGCCGGCGAGATCTGACTGAGCCCGATCTGGCCTTGGCCTGCGCGCGCGTGGGCGTGGGATGAAGAATGAACACCCTCCCCCGGCGTCCCGATTGCCGGGCTTATATACGCAGGAGCACGAGGCGCGATTAAGCGATGGAATTATGACGGGTTCGTCTCCCTCCCCCAGCTCGCTCGCCCGCGCCTCACTTTAGCCGCGGCGGAAAGGAAAAGGCAGCAACAGCAAACAAGCAACGACGGGGGATGTTGGAATCGGATGATGGAGGCACAGCACAGCACAGTGCCGTGCTGCTGCTCATTAAACTAGTGAGCAATTATTACTACACCCATTAGTGCGCATTCGAGGAGGAAGCTCCGCGCACAGGATGCTGTGAGGGCTCGGGTCACTGGTGGCGGGGCCACCATAGGGTGGGACCAACGTGTCGGCGAGTAAGGAGTTCCGCAGCTGCGGTGGGGGGACCGGTAAGAAGTACGGGAGAAGCAAGCTCTGGTGTCTGGTCGCATGGGTGGAGGGCGAGCGGGACTCAGGCATCAGGATCTGTGGCGTGGCGCCGTGGCGGGCAGACGAGATATTATTGCGCGGGGCCCGGGCAGGCGTGGTGCGGCCCACGTCGGCCAGCCTTTTTCCGGCTGCCTCGTCACTGGCTAGCTACAGCTACAGCTAGCTACAGCGTAACTAAAAAAATAAATCAAAACACTGCAGCGGTGGATGGTACGAAAGAGAAATACTGTAACGTAACGGTTGAAAAATGTAAGAAAAAACAGCCGGACCAACCGGCTAGTCTGAAATTTTTTTAGACCAGCCGAACGCCGTCGAGATATCCTCTTGTTTCTGCGTGATTGGCAGTTTGGCTCGGCACTGGCTAGCTACAGCTACAGCTACAGCGCATTGCATGACAGGCATTGAAGTCCCTCAGCTTTTTTCTCTCCAATTTTTATTGAGACCGAAAGGACGAGGCGTACGGTACTCGTATGCATTTTTGATACGCGCACTACTGTCAGGGAGGGTGGTTGACAGTGGGGCCGATGGAGGAGCGTGTCGTGCTCGTTGTTGGGCCGGGTCCGTCACGGTCTTGTTGATTGTAAACGATCGGCACGCGACAGGGGCG